CGGGGGCTGGCCGCACATATCTGAAATCTGTCTCGGGCGATGGCTATCAATGTCGGCGATAGGTGAGCCACAGAGAATGTCGCCCGGTCGCCTGGGCCAATTAAGGGTTAAACATTTTGCATATGCAGCCGATGCCAGCACAGATTCTGTCTCTGATTTGCATAATTTTCGGCTGGCTATCTCCGTCTCACTCGCTCTTCGTCGGCGACATGCGCACGATACATTAATTTATGTGGCTCAAAGAGGAACAAAGTGGACAACGCTTGGTGTCCAATTTCATTAGGCACATCAGCGCCTTGCTCCCGTACTCCCCTGCAACTCGTTTTCCCCCCTCCAGGAAGTGCGCTTATGTTTTGTCTAACTGTCACTGAAATGTGTGCTCGTGTGTGTGTGCGTATGTGTGTGTGTGTGCTCGTGTTTTCCCTGTTTTGTCACATTACGAGAATTTACATAAAATCTATTGTAAGCGTATGAAATTGAATACCCCAAAGCGGATTCGGACATGTGGTCCTTTTTTTACAGTCGAGGGGGTGGGGAAGCAGAAGGGCTGTAAGCGTGATGTTTGCTCTTAGGGCCGCAGACGCAATTTAATAATTTAATTAGTAGACCACAGCACCGTCTCGGGCGTAATAAATATCTTGGCAATTTTCATAAGTCATAAATTAGCAAGTGGGGAATTTGTTTTCCAATTATACATATTTCACACCGCATGAACAGAAGAAGAATGAAAAATCGAAATTGAATGCAATTTTCTATTTTAATAATTTATAACGCGTCACAGCCGCTGCAACAAGTACAAATTGTCAAAAGTGTTTTGCGTCTTGGCCAGGCCCACCCATGGCGATGGCCCAGCCACAGGCACAGGCACACTGGCATACGGTACTGGTCGCACTGCCTAACCCGATCCTTGGCCCCGATGCATTGCCACGCGCTTTTAACGAGTCGCAAATTCACGTTGCAATTGCCAGAGTCGACACTGTGAGCGCCCCATCGTAACTTCTCAGCCAAGCAACACTCAAAAGAGCTTGAGAGGGAGAGGAGGAGAGAGAGGAGGTTTCTTTGCAGCTCGTGGCTTGCCCACCCGCCTAGCCGTGGCAGCCACCCAACCAGCCGCTTATTTTTGCGTATTAACGCGCGAAATAATATTTTATTTTGACCATCGTCAAAGGATTGAAAAATGCCCACTAATATCTTTGGGTCTTTGTGACGGCTTTGTGCGGGCCACTCTGTCTGACTGCCAGACACTCTGTGTGTGTGTGTGTTTGTGTGTATCAATGTGTGTATATGCCAGTGTGGCATGCAGTTTGTTGTTGTCTGCTCTTTGGTGTTGCAAGCAACACACAGTAGTTATGCTTAGCCTCAACATATATCTTTTTTTTTTTGTGCCTTTAATTTGATAAATATTTCGTGTGAATTTTGCAAAATCAACAGAAAGTTGCAAATTATTTAAATAGAGGAAAAGTTTAAAATAAACAATGTTTAATATGAATATTTAAGATATGACTAGGTGTGTCTTTATTTGGCTATCTCAGGTGTTCAGAGGTGGCTATCTCAGGTGTTCAGAGGAACTGACGAAGATCTTAAGTCTTTGCTTTTATATTACCATTATAATTTATAATTTAAGCAATTTCCATCTAGCAATAGATACGAAGAGCTGCAGATTCATGTTGTTCGTCAATTCGAGAAATAAAGTTGTTTGCGAAACATAAAATGATTTCAACAATTTATATTTATTTTTATCATAATAGTTTCCTTCATTTTTAATTCAATTCGAGTTATCTAGGTCTATCTTTGCTTAGCACAAAAATATTTATTTATATATATATTTATTTCCCTCATCCCACATTTGGTCATATTTAATTATTTCTCCATATTTTTCTTCATCCCAGTCAAATCATATTTGGCAATTTAATATTAAGTTTATTTTCCTGCATTTACTTCGCATCTCTAAATATTATTTTCATTTTAAACTAAACTAGTACGATCAAAGCCATATCAAAATTTCACATATTTAAGTTTTATGCGAATCAAAATTAGTTGCAGACGGTTAACACCACAAAGTGAGTAATTTCTGAAATTGCGCGGGAGCGTGGTTCACTCTAGGCCATTCTGTGCGCTCGCAATTTAACTAATTTTGCATAACTCATTTGCAGCTCGTAAAGATCATAATTTGCAGTACGAAATGTAGTGCGCGGACACACCTTCGATTCAGCAAGCCGAATTCCCACGTTTCGCAGCTCCGCAGAACGAATCAATCATTTGCCTAGCCAGATTTCAGTTGGCCAGGCGCTGGCTGTTGCGGGGCAAGCTGGGCAGAAATGATCGCCAGGCATGCAAAATAGTTGCAACCGTTAACGGTCTGGCACCGCTTGCGACGGAAGGTGGCGGCACTGGGCATTATCTGGCCAATTGGTCACAAAATCTTAACACCTACAGCGAGTCCAAGGCTGCGCTGTGCTCATCAGCAGACGATCATCTGATCAGAGATGATCATCTGATCAGTGGCGGCCATTAAAGTCAAATCATTTTTCACATTTAGATATTGGCCGCGGGGCAGGCGCACAGAATCTCCCCATCTACCCCCTGCCCCAGCCATCCGCCCGCCGCCCTCACAGACAGTCGGCACAATTGAAGGCAACTCGGAATCGATCCATCCCAAAATTGCCGCGATCACGATTTGGAGGAAATATGTTCAACTGCAGCTCTGTCCGAGTCGCTTACATAAAAGTAATCAAATCAACACCTTCATCAACTCCTTTGGATACGCTGGGCCAAACCGCAGAAGATGCCTTTCTTATTATGCCCTGAATCACTTGAAATTGGCTACGAAGGATATAATGTGTTTGGGCAAGATTATGTAACAGGTAGACGAAAGAACAGCCTAAAAATTAGGCGGATCTTTCTCTCTCTCTCTCTTTATTTATATATTTCATATATATTTCGTTTATATATTTCAAGATTCTCATCATATAAAGGCATAATTTTTCGATGTGAGGTACTTTCTGGTCGAGCATACCCGATCAGAGCAGACTTACTTGCTGTGTGCTGTGGTAATTTGGACTCACGGCTCGAATCGCAGAGCAATCTTTTATTTTTTCCCTCCTGTACTTTTGCTGTACTTTTCAGCTTGTTTCGGTGGCGATCGCCTGTCGATCAAATTGTTGTTTTCGATATCTAATTTGTCATTCGGCAAAAGGCAACGGCAGCGACGGCCCACAAGACAGCCGCAATTTGTTCATGCAACTGGCAACTGGCAACTGGCAACTGGCAATGGGGCAACTGGCAACTGGCAACACGCTGTCTGCGTTGCACGATCCTTTCGATGCTCGATGCTTGGAGCGAAGTAGGGAATCCCGGCATTATGTGCGACGATTATCTTGTCGGCGCGTGAAATTTCGTGGCGTTGAGGAATTGACCTGCAATTGATACCAATCCACGGCAATCCATTACAGAGGCTAAGCGCGCGAGCTGTATGTCTCATTATTGGCAATTTTGGAGCAGTACGAGGAAATTGCCCCATACCCATGTCGATCCATACCCATGCCGAGGGTCATTTGTATAGGGGTCGCGCCGCAGTTGCAGCATGACTGGGGCATTTATTTTGCAGCACATGCAACGCAAATTATGATATGGGGCAAGATAGTGAGAGACTGGAGATATCTCTATAGGCAGAGGAAGTATGCGAGATAGAGAGAGTGGAAGAAGGAGAAAGATATAGAGATATTCTCAATTAAAAATATTCTCTGTTATTTTTTGTATTTTTATTAAATAAAATTAATTCAACTGACATTTGATTTCCATATCGAAATTATCAAAAACAAACGGCCTTTCTTTTCGTTTCAACTAATTAATACTTAAATACATATGTATATACTATATATTTTCGATGACAGCAATCAACATGTTTGTATAATGCGGAAATTTCATGTTTAGCTGTATTTTACGAATGTCAATTCACACGCACACATATGCATATATACACAGACTCACACACACACGCAGACACACATTCGCACTGCCGACTATCAACAGTGATAAGGTTAATATGTATATAAGTACTTGATCTACAGCATATAGCTACGCTGAACTTGGCCAGCTCTACTGTCTGAATGTTTATTGCAATTTATTTACCATTCGGTTGACATTTATTATCAATTAATTTACAAATTTCGCACCTCGAATATTTATTTACACGCGCTCATGCGATGCCTTTTCATTAAGTAACTGCAATTTTGTTTTCAATTATTATTATTATTTTATATATATAAATATATATATAGTTAAATATTATTTACAGAACGTGTTCGCTTATCAGTAATACACAAATTCTTGACTATGAACGAAATGACGAAAGTGTTTATAATGTATTTCAAAATTTTTTTCTTTTTGCTAAATTTAATTTTTTATTTTTATTTATTTAATGCTTTGTACAAAACTTTGGCTGCAGTTATTTGAAAAAAAAAAAAATAATAATAATAATAATAATAATAAAAATAAATAAATAAACAATAATAAAAATAATACCTAAATAAAAACACTGATGCAACAAAAAATTCACACTAAATATTTTGATATGGTTTAACGATATATTCGCTAGATTTGCATAATGAAATGTTAAACAGAAAACCCGTAAAGAAAACAGAAAGGAAATTTCTTTTAAAAACGCAATTTTTTATTATTATAAAATATATAAAACGTTTATATTTATACATATAAATAAAATAATGCTTAGTCTAGAAGATCGTTTTAAAACTGAAAACTTGCACTGAATTGGTATTGCCCACATTTTTTTTTTAATTTGATATAAAAATAAAAAATTAGCTAAATTTTGCATTGTAAATTAATAAAAAAATAAAATTTGTGTTTTTCGATTTCCATAAAGTTGTTACCACATCTTTGAGACATGGCCTGGAGCAGCTGAGAATTTGATTTTCATAATTTCTTTATGATATTTGATTTGATTTTGTTTTACTTTTACATTTTACTTAAAGTAAAATAAAGTAAAAATAAAAAACATTGCTAAAGCACACACAAAATATAATTGCCACACATAAAGTAAAAATATATTTTTGGTATAATTCTGCAAACCACTGGGAGATTAGAGATTAAAGTACACTATAGAACGCATAGAGCTATATGTTGTAGATATAGCTGTCTAATTATAAAGGTGTATGTATATGTATATATATATATTTGTATATATATGCTACAAGAAATACATAAATATTTTGCCTAACATACATTTACATTTGTCTTTTTTTGTTTTTTGTATTTTTGTTAATGTTTCATTGCTTGTGGGAGGGTATATAAAGAAGTTCAGTTTAGTTTAGATTTCATTTGCATTAAAATTAAGTAGAACTCAGTGCCTTTAAATATTATACAGACATAGACGTAGAACTGATGGATGCCCAAAAGAAGAAAACCTGAAAAAATCTCTGAGCGTTTTACGTTCAGGAATTTCAGTATTTTTTCTTTCGACTTTTAGCCAGGGAGCTGCATTGTATCTACAAGATACAAGACCGCATTTGGCTGTCAGTTGTGGGCGCCTGGGAGAAAGTTGAAAATTGTTTATGTACAAGCTACAACAACTAAAGGAGATTTTAAAACAATTAAGCTACACGATTCTCTTTTTTTTTTTTTTTTTTTTACATTTTTCATTAGAGATTTTTTGTTTTGTTTTTTTTTTTTTTTTTTTTTTTTTGTATTTTTTTTTTTTCAATATGCATAAATAATTACACTACTTGACATCCACAATGAGAGGAACTTCACTGATATCGATTAAATTTGGCGGCGATGGCAGCGACTGTTGCTGCTGCTGTTGTTGTTGCTGCTGCTGTTGTTGTTGCTGCTGGGCTGTCGCGACGGTCGTCGCTGTCGGTGTGGACGATGCCGATGACAGCGAGCCCGCTGACGACGAGGACGAGGAGGCGGGGGCCATGACCGCTGCCGTGGCCAGTTGCTCATGGCTGTTGCTGTTGCTATTGCTGCTGCTGTTGCTGTTGCTGGCCAGCAGCAGTCGCTGGTGGTGTTGTTGCAGGCACTGATTTGCATTGACAGCGGCCGCGGCCATCATCATAGTCGCAGCATCGCAGTAATTAGACAGCATTGTTGTTGTGTTCACTGCCGCTGGCATTGTTGTTGTTGTTGCAATTGCTGCTGCCGCAGCGGCTGCGGTTGCTGGTGTCACATATGCAGCAACCGCTGTTGCATTGGCCATATAATCGTTGCTGTAGCCGGCGCCAAGCAAACCGCTGGAGCTCATGTTGCTGTTGTTGTTGCTGCCGTTGATGTTGTTGCTGTTGCTGTAGTTGCTGATTTGCTGCTGATTGCAAACGCTGTGGATGCTGTTGCCGCAGTTGTTGCCGCCGTTGCCATATGTTGCATGCATGGCAGCAACATTGCTGTGATCGTGGCTGTGATTGCCAGCAACAGCAATGCCCCCACCGCCACCGCCAATGACGCCGCCAATGTTGCTGTTGCTGTTACCGTTGCTGTTGCTGTTGCTGTTGCTAGTGATGTTGTTGCAGGGATTGATGTTGAGCGTAGTGCTGCTATGATTGGCTGCCACAGCGGCCGCCACAGCTGCGGCTGATGATCAAGTTGTTGTCAATTGGCGCCACATTGTGTGTCACATCGAAGGCAGATAGGGCCAAGAGAAACTGTTGCCGCTCAGCAGCATGTCGCGTATCAGCGTTTCGATTGGCGTTTTGCCGACTAGACGCACAAAAAACAACTGCTCAATGACCTGGTTAATTGAAAAGACAAAAGGAAAAATAGAATGGAAAATATGAATCAGTATTGCTGTATTTCTTTGTGCTAAAAAATTGAAGCATAGTTCGAGTTCAATGATAATAATTGAATCTATATTCTAATCTGTGACAGATTATTCATTAGACTCTACTTACTTGTGAGGAGACGGTGCGTAACGATGGCAATCTGAGTAGCAATTTGCCGAACCTCGTGGGTTGATTGGGATACTGCGTTCTACAATACTCCTCCAGGGCGCACTGAGACTTCTCTTGCAGGGATTCAATGTGTGTCACATCCGACAGTCCGCAGGCATCTAAAAAAATATAATCAAAAAGATTCATTTAATATTGAACACCTCGAACTACGAGCAATTCCCTATAGAGGCAAATGGTCTGTGAGCCTATGCAGTTCACCTGGTGCTTGTCGCGAAATACGTATCCAGCGAATGGGTTTCCAGCGTCAGCTTAAGGCCACGCCCACACACAACAACATCAATAATAATAATAACTGTAGCTAGAAAATGGCACATGACGGAATTACGTCACTCGCATGATTTATGTCCAATTGAGGACTTCGACTCAAAGTCGAACAAGAGGCCGTTTAATTAAATTTACGAAAATTAAACTGAACGGCAACGCCCCTCTAGACAAAGGCCATAAACAAGACGCATGGACGCAGAGGGGGCTGGGGGTGTGGCTGAGGAGATTTCCTCTCTATGTTGTTGACTAGTTGTTAAAGCTAAAGACATTGCGCATACGCAGCGTGTGCCGTCACGTGTTAATTGCCAGCGACACAAAAGTTTGCTTATCAATATATACTCGTGTGTGTATCTATGCCTGTTTTCAAGTATTGCCGGACAACAACAAATTGTGCACACACGCGCTGTATATATATGAATGTATATGTTTGTGGTGCTGCGCCTATTTGAAATTCAAATTAGACATCAGCACTTGTAAATTTGCATAGCTTGAAGTATTCTCAAATGGATGCTCATATTCCATTTACTTAATTAGTCAGCAAGCAAAAAGTATCTTTAGCTCAAAGCAACAAAATGTAAACATACATAAAGTATCTTTTGCACATTACGCAAAATTTACAAGTGGCATTTATAACAGTTTCTCTTCTTCTTTTTCTACTTGTTGGCTGGCGTGCAGCTGGTTTGCGGTTTAATGAATTGGCCATTTGGTGATGTTGGTGATTTGGCCGTCGCTGGGTGTCCAACTCGTCGTCAAACGTATCCGATTGCAGTGTGAATTCAAAGTTGAAGTCGAATTTGAATTTGAGTTTGATTGCATTGCATTGCGAAATGCCAGCTATGGGACGTAATGTGTCGTTTAAACGTCTCGGATTTCAGCTCTTTGAATTTCATTATGCATTTGGATTGGTCGTAGCTGTAGCTGTCTTTAGCTGCACGCAAGCCTACTTCTGCTTGCCAGCTGTCAATTGAAAGCCAATACATTGAGCCACAATGTAAAATGAGTCAAACAAATCGGCAATAGGTTCATTAGAGCTAACTCCTCTGGTGGCAAAACTAACTGATCGCTAACATATTCGCACTTATGCGATTAAAATTTGCTATAGCCGTTTGAGCAACTCATAAAGATATGCGGCGATATATTTAGCGGGAAATAATAAACTTAGCTATTTATCTTCTATACAGACATAGATAACTCTGAAAAATATTTGTGCTTTGATTTCTTTATACTTAAATTACTTAAATACTTAAATTATTTAATTTAATGAAGTACCAAAAGTTCCAATTACTTAATTATTTTATAAGGTCTTAGCTCATAATATTCTCCCAGAATTGAATTTAGAATACCTAATTGTTGTCTTGAGTGAAACTTAAGCTGAGCTAAAAATCATTAATTTTGTTTAAATATTAAATATTGCAATATACATTCATAAACTTAAATTTAATTAATTTTCTCCAATATAAATTTAGCTATTTTTTAAATTTAAAATTTATTCATTTATGAATCTGTATAAACAGTCGATAGATGCCTTCTGCATTGTAAAGTGCAATAATAAACAAATTTAAAATTCTTAAAAAATGTTTACATGCATTTAACTAGTTTTCTGTCGTTTGCTAAGTGAATAGTCAAGCTGTAATATGCCGCAAAACTGAATAAATATCTATAAAAAAAATTGCATATAATTGCAAGGAATTTTGAGCTGAGTCACTGAGCAGTAAGTAAGTAATTTAGCGAGACGGCAAAATGCAGCGGGACTGTGACAAGTAAGAAAACTCTCCATGCTGCACGCTCGGCTTGCATTTGGGCCATTTCCAGTTGGCCCACAAAGTAAACAAATCATAAACAAAGCTGAACGTTAACTGCGATGCTGGCTAAAAGGCCTCCAGCCACACAATGCGCGTAAATCAAGATAAATGATTTGTCGCCAAAGGCAACAGAAATTCAATTAGCCATTATTAACCATTTCATTTCATAAACAACCAGCAACAACAACAACAACAGCCACAACGGCCATTGGGCCAATAATCGTGAAGTTACAAATTAGATTTGGCCAGTTGGGATTGAAAAGCTGAGCGAATCATTTCACTTGGCCATGGTCAATAATTGTCAATTGACTTTGGCCATTAGGTTTTGATGATCCGGAGCCCAGGCAGCCCGACAACGAATAACATAAAAGACAACGAGTCCAGAGGACATGAGAAGCAGAGGATGAAGAAGAAGCTGAACCAAAAAAATCTGGCTACAATTCGAATCAATAAGCCAGTCAAGCACAAATTTTATTTTCATTGAAATGCAGCAGAAGACGACGGAGTGAAAGAAATTCAAGTTTGTGAATTTGGCCAAAAGAAATGCGGCCCGAAGCCGAAGCAGGCTGCAGCTTTCTCGGGCGTTTGCAACGGGCTGCGGCTATAACTATGGCTTAACTTGGCTTTGATTTTTTCGTTTTGGTTTTCGTTTTTGTATTTTTGCTTCCTTTTTTTTTGTGTTTTTTTTTTGGTTTTTTTTTTGGTTGGACCTCTGCCTGGGCTGCCTTCTGCGCAGTTACTAACTCAGCGCGGAGATCGTGACCGCGTGTTTTAAATGCATAATGACCGTAAAGTAGTTGATGTAACTACGTAACCGAATTGTGCTGCCAATAACAACAACAACAGCAACAATAACAGCAAATGCAGTTACAACAACATGCATATCGAATAAGGAGCAGATTTTGTTGTTGCTTTTTTTTGGTCACACAAGAACGTGGCACAGGCTCCGCCCCCTCCTTCCCCCATCCACAAATCGGACCAAAGTAAAGGTTAAGCTGTTTAACCAAAAAATTATGAATTGCTGCATTATATTTTATTATATAGTTTTTATGGCCGGCAACTAGTACGTTGTTGGACTTCGTGTCTGCTTTTGGTAACAGTTATAACTTTATTTAGTTTTAATAAGCATTAGGAAAATGCAAGGAGAAAAAAAAAATACGGCAACAAGACAAATGCCCGTAGATATGGCTCGAGCCTTTGGGCTGGGTTCATGTGGGGTCAGCTATGAATTTATAATCGAGCGCCATTTGTAAGAGTTGTTGTTCGCCGAAAATTGACAAGAAATGCAACATAAAAATGGCAGGTATTTGCTAGGTGACATAGTTCTGGAGGAGCTTAAAGAAGAGGCAGAGAAATGGCTAAGTTGCAAGGGAATGGTATATGAAATAGCACAATCATTCTTTTGCAAAGAGAAAGTATACCGAAATTGAGGTATGAAAATAAAATTAAAATTTTGAAAAATAAATAAATGTATTTATATTATCTATATTTATTTTATTATTCATTTTATTTTTTATATTTATTTATTTATTTATTTCAAATATCCTATAAGGCTCAGAATTAATTAAATTTGTATAAAAGTTTTCTTTAAAAATTACTACTTGCTCTGGTATTTTTAGTTTGTAATATATAAAAAAAAAAAAATCACCAAACATAACTTTTATTATAAAGTACACTCAATTCATACTGTAAGGCAAGACCTTAGCCTGTTTTGCCAAAGAAAATTGAATATCTCGACAGTTTGATCGAAGCTGAATCTTGTATCTAAGCTTAACTGATTGAACATTTCAGCTGTGAGCGAGTGGGTAAAAGAAAAGAGAGGTTAAGCTAAAACGCGCCCAAAAAATGATTCTGATCAAAGAGAGGTCTCAGTGTACGAAACTGTTAATTACAAGGCACAAAGGCACGTCTGTGGCAATTTTCGGAAAGTAGCGCAGGCGATCAATGAGCACCCACAAAACGATTTGGGCATCAGCAGAGAAAAACTCAGAGTCAGCCGCAGCCGCAGCCGCAGCCACAGACACAGACATTGGCAGAGCCAAGGCACAAAGGTTGGCCAGAGCTAAAACCAACACAAAATGTTGGTCAAAAAGTGTGGCTAAGACATGAAAGCTACAACTCTTAACAACTGCAACAAACGACAGCAATCAGGCAGCGAGCGTGTGGAGCAAGAGTGGAACGGGTGGTGGTGCGGTGAGGCAGTACATAGACGTGGCCACAACCAGATTGGAAGATGCACCACCGAGAGCTTGGGCAGACATGTCGTCAACGTGCCGCCGCCTGGCTGCAAGGCAGCAGGCAGAAGATCTACTAAGTCTATACCCGGTATTTTACTACTGCGATCGTGTCTATCACCGAGGGGGGGGACAGAGCAGAGCTCAAGCGCTGCAGCGATTGATCGGCTGCAGTTTATGGACTCATGCAGCCAATTCAAATGCAATTGCGCTGCACAAGAGACTGAGCTGGAGTCGAACTCGGAGTTGAAGTCGAACTCGAAGTCGACGTAGAAGTCGAAGTTGGAGCCGCAGCTCTGGCAACACGAACTCGCGACGCCCCCTCACAATGGACCCCAGCCCAAAAGCCCAAAACTCGACACACACAGCGTTTTGGAAATTGGAAAATTATTTTCATGGCTGTGGCTGTGGCTGTGGCTAGATCGAGCTGGACCTGGACCTGGCCGAGGAGCAGCCGCTGCGGCTTGTAAGTAAGCGACATAAACGAGTGTTGTATTAATGTTCATAATGTGGTATCTCGACGTCAATAAACGTCGCCAGCTACAAACGGGCGGGGGATAGGGGACTCTGTGCTGTGTGCTGTGTGCAGTCAGTGTCGCAGATCGAGGACAGCTGCTTGACAAAACGAACGGGCCAAGCTGCACACTCGCACACACACACACACTCACGGGTGGCGTGTCGAAGGGGTAAAGCGGAGCTAAACTCCGCTTGAGTTGCAGTTGAATGCATCGCTGCATTATTTGGCCACTGTAAATGGACAATGGGCAGATAAGCGTGCCAGACAGAGCAACAGCTGCGCCATCGGCTCAGCCTCAACTTAGAGCGAAACTTAGACTTAGTTTAGTTTCTACTTAGCCTTAACTTAAATAAAATAAATATGCAGCGTTTATGGTTCAAACAGTTAATATTTGCATACAAATATTTTGAATTTATTTCATTTGAAAACGAAAATAAATAAATAAATAAAAATAAGTTAAAAACAAACATTAACAAACATTAAAAAATTAAGCCATGTGCCAAATTAGTTGGAAAAGTTTAATATTTATGTAAATGCTTATTATATGGATGAATGGGTATATGCATGTGTGTGTGTTAGGCGTATGTGTGTGTGTGCTTGTTTCCAAAGTCCAGAGCGTGTGTGCCATATGTGTATATGTGTGCGTAGCTGCTTTTTGTGGGTTTTTGATGCTTTTGTTTAGAAATAAAAATGCAAAATTAGTAAACGAAAAATATAAATCGAGTGCAGTTTAGAAAGATATGAAAGCAGCTAGTTAATTTTTATTTTAAGATTCCAAACTAGCTGCTTTCATAGATTTCTATGATATATAAATTGTCTTATGAATCGGTTATTATATTATGAAACTTTTTTAATTACCAATTCATAAACAATTTCCACTTTGCTCGAGACCTTAATCAGTAATTGTTTTTTTTTTTTTTTTTTTTCATCATTTTAAGGATTCGCAGCAAAAGAATATTTTTTTCTGAAATTTATAAACTTTTGTGTTCAGCAAAGGACAATCAATTTGTTTTAATACCATTGAGTCAATACAAATTTAATGATATTTAAACGAATTGATTGTATGAATATAAATATTTAGAAAAAAAAAAATGAATAAAATAAAAAATAAATAAATAAATAAAAATAACAAGTTTTGAAATGAGGAAAATATTTCAACACTGTAATTTTCTTAATAAAAATTAAAATTAGAAAGTAAGGAATTTTTTTTAAATGTGAAAAATATTAAAAATAATTGTTGTAAACAGGGAAAAAAATTCAAGACTTTCTAATTTTTTTTACTTACTGAAATTAAAATTAGAAAGTAAAGAATTTTTTTTTTTTTTTTTTTTGAAAACCCAAAAAACAAAACAAAAACTATCAAACAGTTAAATAAGAAATAGATAAATAGAAAAGCAAATAATTAAATAAAAATATTTTCCGAAATATTAATTAGTATTTAAAAGCAGCTATGCCATTTTCTATGGTTGTCAAATATATTGAGTTTGTTCAAAATATTTTAAATAAATACTTTCAATTTTTGGAATTTTCGCTTGAAGCATTCATTCAATTGATTGCTCCAATCGAATCTACAGTGGAAACCGTTAATCAAAGTATCTTAAATTGAAGGTTAGTAATCAAGCCACAAATCGTTGTTAGTTCTCAACTAAATCAAAATAAATAAATGAAAATAATTAAATGAAACGAAAAAAAAAAAAACGAAAAGGGCCAAAATAAAACGCTTAGAACTAGTCAACAACAGCTTAAAGAATTAGTAACAAATGGAATGAGTAAAAACACAGGTTAGGATTAATTTTTTGTTTAACAGCAACAGCAGCGTATATTCTCAACTTCTCTCTACTCCTCTCGCTTCAGCTTCTTCTATCTTTGTTCGTATGGATTTTTGGTAAAGTTGTTCGCTAAACTAGATTACGGCTAAAATAATTTAGGACTTAGACTAAGGCAATAAATACATAAGCAATAGGCACTAAATTTAACTTTACAGTAGATACATAGTTTAAGTACGACATTGATAAATAGATAAGTTACAGTTACATAATCTAAGCCCAACGGTTTAGCTGGGTAAACTAAACAACTGAGATTCTTAAGGTGGGCGGGTGGTTAGGGAGGCGGGGCCTCGGGTCTACAGCTGCCATCTACTGCCCGCTAGGCTGTATGGCGAATATCTATAGCTGGGACTGCCGAAGCTGGCGCCGCTGCCGCTGTGAGCGGCCGCCGCAGCCGCTGCCGCCGCCGCATGGCTAACGCCGAACGGCGTGCTGTGATGGAACATATCAAAGGCCGAGCCGAAGGCGCTGCGCGGCGGCGTCTGATAGAACATGCCCGCCGGCGTCTGATATGCTCCAGCCAGCGAGCTGCTCGTGGCGGGGGCAACAGCGGATGCGGATGCGGAAGCAGTGGGTGAGGCATTGGCACTGGCATTGTGTGTGGATGAGGCGCTGTGGTGGGAGGGCTGGGTGGGCAGCGAGGCGCCTAAGCCACTGCTGTTGCCGCTCGAATCGCCACTGCTGCCGCCGCTGCCACCGCCGGCATTGCCGTTGGAGCTGGCATACAGCGCGGTAAGCAGATCGACTTCAGCATTGGCATTGGCATTGGCACTGGACTTGGCGCAGCTGCTGAAAGCGCTGCCGGCAGAGGGCACAACGGGCACAGCAGGAGCAGCAGCACCTGGATCGCTCTTAACTTGGCTGGCAGTCTGCGATGGCTGCTGCTGCTGGTGCTGGTGCTGGTGCTGGTGCTGTTGCTGGTGCTGCAGCTGCAGCTGCTCTGCCTGCTGCACTGCGGCCTCAACGCCAGCCACGCTCTTCATGAAGGTCGCCAAGTGGATGGGCGCCTGCTGTAGTTGCGTCTCAAACTCTGAGCGATTCAGCTCATCGAGATGTTCGCGTACCACAGCAATGACGTCATCGTGGCTGCACTCAGCGGAGCTGCCAGCATCCACACGCCTGCCGAGCAGTGCTGAAACTTTGGTTAGCAGTGCGGGCACATCCTTGTACAGGATGTCCAGCAACTTACCGGTGGTGAAGAGCACAATGGCCTTGAGGCAGGAGTATTCGGCCGAGTCGACATGCAGCGCCTTCAGCTTCTCCACCTGCTCCTGGAAGATGCGTATGTGATCCATGAATGCAACCACGCGATCCGCCGCCATCGGCGAGGCGTGCAGGCCGGCGGCAGCCAGCAGCGGCGCCACATGCAGTGGCATCGAGCATTGGCTGGCATTCAGGACGAACAGCTCCGACCAGACAAGGCGCAGCAGTGCCACCTGATCGGTAACCTGCAGCTCCGGAAAGAAGGGTATGTTCTTGGCCCACTCGACGGCGGAGAAGAGCAGCCGTGCGGCCAGCTCGCAGATGTTGTCAATGCCCATGATATTGTTGGGCTGCAGGCACTGGCCGTAGCGGGATGTGGGGTACGGCTCGGCGCGCAGCAGCAGCGAGATGTAGGAACTGAGGTACGAGTGCCCATTGAAACCAGCCACGCCCATTGGATCGCCGTTGGCCAATTGATACTGGCCGTGCATGCCAGCTAGGCCGGGCTGTGTGGGCGGCACGCGGCCACGCTGAACAGCTGCAAAGAGTCAGAAAGAGAGAGAGAGAGAATTAGTATGAGAATCTGCATTAGGGAATGTATATGTATGTGTGTATGTGTAACCATGTATATGTGTATCCCTGTATCTCTGTATCTGTGTATCTCTGTGTCTGTAGCCAAGTAATTCAATAGCGCGCTCTTTTGTGCGCTTATTTTGACCGCGACATCACACGCCACACAATGTTGCCCCATTCAGCGTTGTTGGCAAAGCTGCCACAACGCACAATGCCTATCGGGCACCTCAATCTCAGTCGCACTCTCCTAGACGCTGCGCTGCCCTTTTGTTCAGCGACCGACAACGTCATAAGATACTTTTCTCGGCTGCGACTACCTTGAGCCTACCCTGAAACCCTTTTCTTTATTTTCTTTTTTCTTTTTTTTACTTAAACATAATTTCAATGTCGTTGTCCCTTGCAACCCCCTTGTTGCCACAACTGCTTAGATATGCAAATTCAACTAAATACTCTCAACGCATCTTTTAAGATACAACAGCACGTGAGAGTGTGTGTGTGTGTTGAGCAAAATTTAAGCCTAAAATGTGTAAACAGAGCGAAAGCGAAAAGTTAGTCAAATGCCAGCCAACAGCTGTTCGAATCGAGCCCAAAAGCTCAGCTCAGGCGAGCATAGAACGGAGGCAGATGTGTGCGAAAGAGACAGCAGCAGATAAGATTGATCAGAGTGCTAAAAGAGACCAAACGGTAGCTCTGTGACTGATGAAAGGGAAAGAGCTTTTACTTAGAAGTTGCGGTTAGACTTACTCAAAAGTTGCGCCCGGGCAAATCCTGTCATCAGAAAGAGAGACAGGTTATGAAAGAGAAAGAGAGAGATTGAGAGATTACTGTTTACTGAGTTGAGAGGCAAATGAACGCTAGAGCTGAGCTCTGAGAGCACTAAGAAGCTGAGCGGCATCGAAATGGGCCCAGAGGAAACTGAGTATGCAAGTCTACTAAGAATTGATACTAAGATAACTCCATATCAATTGACTGCTATTAAGAATGAGATTCGATTATCTGAGATAGCTTCAATCCAACACGAAATTCATTAAGAATTTATAGTTTTCATGCAAAACTCTGCTCTCAAGTCAAGTTGTTTTTAGGGTGCGCTCCTGGTATAGCCGCATGCCTAGTCTCTGATCTTTGAACTGCAAAGTTCCCTTGCATTAGTTATAGGTACAAAGTTGCACCTGCATAGGCTCGAAACACAGCTCGAGACAATTTTGTAGGGGCTTGGCCAAACGCATTCGATACAAATATTATTTTATATACATTTTGTTGTGAAAATAAAAAACAATGGAGCCTTGCGCATTGATGCTTGAGTGTTGTTGGCAAATGTGGGTTAGCAAAGGCTTTTTTACACCTTCAAATATGAGGTACACACCTAGACGGAGTCATATGCACCACACCTAACCCCACTCGAGGAGCTGGCGCAACAGGCTGGGCTTCAATGGAAGTAATCAAAATAAAAATATCGCAAAAATGTTTGGCTCAAGGCGCTGAAAAGCAAATAAAGCCAAACATGATTATTGATCGGGCCAAGTGTTCGGCACAGCCATTGTCTAACACACACACACATGCATGCACATGCACACAGATACATACGCACACAGCTGTCTAGGCAAAAGTAACGTCTTTTGTTCAAGCGAAAAGCGAAAGCATTTTTGGTCAGCAGACAAATGAAAAATCCAAAGAGCAACATGCGGAGCGAGCAGCACTTGGACCAGGGTAGGGTATTTGTTTATTGCTTTACGCAAGCAATTAAGTGCACGAGGGGGTTGCAGAACCGGAACTGCCAAAGATTTGACCACTGTCCAGCGCCGGACGAGACAATTATTTATGAAATACATTTGCGTAATTTGCGCAGGCAAAGCACGGCTGATCCTCAACGGATCTATGCAGGCAGCCAGGCTGGCAGGCTGGCAGGCTGATAGGCAGAAAGGGCAGAAGACGCTGCAAACCGGTCTCTCACTCACTCACTCTCTCTTGGAGTCTACGACCGTCGTCTCTTTCGCTCCTGTCCAGTGGCTGAGCCGAGGCTTATTTATGCGCCTGGGAAAATATATATTCCACACTGACCACAGTGACTCAAAAACTTGCCAGACTGACCGCAACTGCAGCTCAGCGCAGCTCAGAGCAGATCAACTCCAACGACTTTAGCTGATAACGCAGCAGCCAGCAGCAGTAACAACAACAACAATAACAACAACAGCAACAACAATCCAAAACAAGAAGAGTGAGAAGAGTGAGTGAGTGGAGCAGCAGCGTCTGCTTGGCTTGATTACTTAATGAATGAATTCTGTGGGCCAGCACGTGCTCAAGTCTCTGCTGCGCTTTTGTTGCTCATTGTTTTGGAGGCCTCGCACTTATGTAATCGATAAACGATATACAAGTCATCGCGCCAACAACACTCGAGCGCGTGTCCAAGTGGCTCGCAGCTAATTGTGGTCAAGTGGATAAAGTCTCTGACAGCCGCAATCCGTCCAAATCCGTGCCCCAAGGGCTCGATGCATCTGCGAAAATGTCATTTCCGGCCTCAGGTTCGAAAAGCCTTTCACTCTATGCAAATGCGCGCTTTGAGTATTTGCTTCGCTTTTAATATAGCACTTTACGGTGGTTGTTGTTGCTGTTGTCGCTAATATTATTGTTATTTGTTGTTCAGCTAAAATTTCCATTGTTAATTATAATGCCTGCATGATATATGTAAGTGGCTTTAAGTGTCTGTCTAAATTGAGCAAGTCGATTGCATTTAAAAAGCTTTGCTTTACATATTAAATATTTTGTTTTCGTTTGTTGTTCGCATAGAGTCTAAAAAAATTATAATTATACCTCCAAGCATTATTATATTTTTTAAATATAAATATTCACAGTTGAAGTAGACTTTGATTTTATTTAAAATATATATACTATACAACATTATGGAATTTCAAAAGGGGAATCACAACGGCGTTTCTATTAAAAAAGTCCATATATTGTTTATTTGAATTTTCAATTTTAAGGTGTACATATTTTTTTTGCTATCGTAAGATGAAGATTCCTGATAATCCTACATCACATATCTCTCGATCAACCCACTGACTGAACAAAGCCCACTTCAACCCTCGTTGCTGTAGCTTTGCGACCAGTTTCCTCACTTCAAGTTCAATTTTTACTGTAAATTCTTGTACTTTTCTTTCGTTTTGCTTGCCAAAGAAACTATTTATATAAAAAAGTGCTTTTATAAACAGAAATTAATTTCCCTGGCTCAACCCTTGGGCCGAAACAAGTTTCGGCTCAATTTGTTGTCCAGTTCGGTGACCCAACCTCAGCCCCGGGTTCAGTCCAGCCCAGTCCACCCCGTCCAATTGACACTGCAATTTAATTAGAGCGACCTTCGTGCCTTGATTTTATGCGCTTTTTCGGGTTTTTCGCTGTAGAATTGCTTGACCAGGTCTCCCGAGGCATAACCTTTGTGCTGCTTTTATTCTAAGTAGCGCCCAAAAGGAAGGAAAAAAAAACGAAAAAAAAAAAAAAAAAAAACCGTACTGATATTCTATGCAGAAAAGACATTTTCTCACGATTTCTCAGCTCTGATATAGGTTTTAGGCAATTGTGAACTAGTTTTTACGCAGAACTTGTACATTAGGAAATGCCATGTGGAGAAGGGGGCAAAAGGTGCTGAACTCTTTTGCGTTTTATTATGATGAAGTTGACAAGTTGTTGTCAGTGCCAGTGGCAGTGGCAGAGCTACAGGTAATCGCATGCTTAATGGCCAAACAGGTAGCCCACACCTGGGTTCACAGCCCGCTTCATTAGCCACCAACAGAATTTGGTACTGGGCCTAGCCAGAGCTATGAAGAACGAACGTGAATTTAGTCATGTGTATTTCTTTTTTTTCTTGTTTTGGCTATAAGCAAATATTCGTTTAATATTTTCATTTGCGCAATAGCCGCGCTTAAATCAATGTTTAGATACATTTAATTACAATGGCGGTGTCTGTAGCTGCATTTTAATTGCCTCGTTCTTAACCCAAATCACTGCAGCAGCGACAACATCTGCTGTCGTCAGCAGCAACAGCAGCAACAGCAGCAACAGCAGCAGCAGCGTCAGCAGCGGCGGCTATTAGCATTTTGCGAAAAACCTGTCAATATTAGTGCAAATAATAACAGCTTTGTGCAGCAGCTGGACAAGTCTCTCTCTCTCTCTGTCTCTCTCTCTCTCTCTCTTTCTCAGTATATATATGTATGTTTATAGAGACATATATATTAATATGTATATCTGCCGCCAGACAGTTGTTAATTGTTAATGCCGACAACTGCAACTAAGCAAGCGACCACGCAGTCACCGAAACCAGTCAGTCAGTCAATCAGTCAGTCAGTCAGTCATTCATTGATCGATTCACTGTGGCGTCTGTCAATTTGTCGTCGTTTGCCAATTTGTGGACAAAGCATTTGTGGCCCAGCTATGCCAAATATTTGCGCTGTTGCATGCTGCCTTCGATTAAGTCAGCTCGTGCACTGCAAGAAATTACCGAAAATTTCCCATATGCTTGACAGATTGCATATACTTTGCGTCTTCCTATTTAGCCAGCAAAGCTCTATGATTAGGCTGTGCATGCTGCGGCTCGTTAGCTCATAATTTTCTGCCAGTGTATGTCACTAGATCTAATCGAATTAACTTTAATAAATCATTTGAGCCAGCGCCATGGACAGAAAAAAGTGTCGACACACAAATTACAATATCGAGCTAATTCCTAATTCAACTATTCAACTATTCATGCATTCAAGTATTCCAACTGTTTGCGTATTCGATTATTCGAGTACTCGTGTATTTTTTTTTTTTTTACTCATTCAGTTTTAATTATTAACCAACGAGCGAACAAGTTTGCATTTGATCTTTGGGGTCAATATGCTGCAGCCATAGCTTAATTGTTATTTTGTATACCCTGTAATCATAAAAGTGTGACTAGCGGGCCTGATGAGCCTATGCGAGAGCTGCTAACTCAACTGTTTCTTGTATATGTTAAGCTGTCTATTTATAGGGTATGCTCTAGTTGATGTACCTTGGTACCTTGCACCTTGACTCTTTGAGCTGGTTTCACTGTAGTTATGGAACTTGACTAAATGTCATGTGGAGTTTGATATGCAATGCAGTCCGACAATGAATGGATAGCAAAATTGAACGCTAGTCATATAATGTCATTAATAGACGGCGATTATTAAGTTATTTAGAAGAGTTTGATTAGGATTCCTAGCAGCTCTGACAGTATAAGTCTTATATAGATCTAGAGAAGAGCGCTAGCTTTTCTTGAGAGTGGTATGGCGAGTCTCGTGATATAACATCTGTTTCTTGCGCGCTATTTTGAGGCATGACCCGTTTTTTCGCTAAGGTTCTTAGAGTTTCGGCCTATCATCAAGTGGCGCATTCCTTGGCAGACCACTTGGCACTGCCGCAGCAGCCAAAGGAGAGCAGCCCACACTTGTCACTCGTGTGTTGAGTGCAAATTCGTAGCATCTGACATTTAGTTGTCCCATTTATTGGACCGCACGTAACCCACATGCGATAGAAAATCAAATTTGAATTCGCTCGCAGTCTGTGCAGTGCTCTACTTCCGTTTTGCAGTGTAGTTGCTGCTTGCTCTGTCTCGGCGCATTTAATTTATTTATGTATTTGCCTCACTGTTTGACTTTTAATTGACCCACAGCCAATGCAAGAAATTTCGCTGATCACAGTTTGTCTACATAGGTATACTATATGTGCTATATAGGATGGACTTACCTTCGCGTCGCATGCCCATTTTGAGGCACTTTTTCAAGCGGCAATATTGGCATTGATTGCGATGATGCTGATCTATGGGACAGTTTCTGCTGCCCCGACACGAATATGTGAGATTGCGTCGCACGGAGCGCTTGAAGAACGATTTGCAGCCTGTAAAGATGGATGGTAAATAAATGAATAAATGTATTCTGAGAACTGAAGAAAAATAGTTGTAAAGCATATTTGAAATTGTCTAAATATATATCTATAAAATATTCAAAGAAAAGTCAATCTATATAATAATGTAGAAATTATGATAATTATTATAATTCTGCACTCTACTGATTATTATAATATAGTATTATATAGTCTAAGATATACCGATTCCTGAGATTCTTTACTCTTCTCTGTGCTTTTCTCTCGTAAACATCTTTATGATCTATCCAATATATAAATGCTAAATACTTTAAGCCTCGGCTACACCTCCAAATGCTTTGGAACAAGCGAAACAAATTCCATGGCACTTGAATCAAATGGGGCAAAAAAAGGGCAACAAGAATTGTTACCACTTGTAAAGCAAAGTATCCAAAAGCGCAGAACATGCCACCAAATGCGGCAAGTTGCGCTTCACTTCATGACACTCGCAGCTGTTAGTCCGAGTCCTGCCATACGATGCCCTCCCTCCCCTTCCCTCGCTCACTTGTTGGCCATGTCAATGGTCATGTTACACGTTTCATGGCTTAACGCCTTCCATAAAATTACCTTTAATGGCTTTCAATTAACAAAGTGTATCTGTGGGCACGAAGATACGACTGTCCCGGGCACTGTCCCAGGCACTGTCCCAGGCACTGGAGTAGCCAACAGGCTGTCGAAGAGCAGGCAGTGCCTCTTATATTGCTGGGCGGCTGCTGAATTTTAGTTTTTGGCTCCACGAATTTACTGTTAAGACTAAAGACTAGACAAGCTTGTTGTTGTAGCTATTGTTGTTGTTGTTGTGGGCAGCCATTAAGCACTCACTGATATAGTTGGAGCCCGTCGCGTTGTTTGCAAGCTGCATTGCAATTTGATGTCGCCATCCTGCTAAACATGTGTATCACTTGCGTTGCCCAGCTCCGTACAACATCTACCGCGCCCCACCTCCGCCCCCTCTCTATCTATCTTCGCTTACAGTCAGCATCCTGGTGCTGATCCTGTTTGGCTGCGGGGGCCGCAGTTTAGGCCATGCCACACAAAATTTCTCACAATAACTCAAAACAATGGCATATGCTCATAAAATTCGTTTTAAGCTGTAAAATCATCATCAAACAAAATATGTTAGGCCCAGCCAGCCAGCCAGTCAGCCAGCTAGGCAGCCAGCCAGCACTGCAGTCACAGTCGCAGCCCAGTCTCGAGCTATGCGATCTGTGTGCTATAAAAGATTTTCAATGCGCGCTCCTGCCCAAGCAGTCAAGGCACGGGGAGGCGTTCGGCGCTGCGACTGCGTTGCGATCGTGTGCACTAAAACGTGCCCAGGCACAGGCAACTAAAGCTGGCTGTCCAAGTCGATCAACAGATGCGCTATAGACGAGCTATGAGCTGCATTGAAGTAGGATTTGATCTGGGCTGAAGGTCTGACTGAGAAGCTTGCAAATAGTTTGTATAATTTTGAAGAGAAAAGACAAAATCTGCTTGAAAGTGAGACTTAAATAGATAACAAAATCAAATGGAAAATTTTAATACAAAATTTGATTGAGAATCACATGCATAGATAGACAGCAAAAGTGTCAATAGTATGCTTTTTACTGGAAAGGAAAATATTAATAATAATATACATACATATATCGGTCGATAAGATGTTGGATCTGCGAGTAGCTGCATTTAATATGAGAAGGGCATGCGGCAGTGTCTCAGCTGGCAAGGCAAACGTTGGCCTCACACGCCGCGCTAGACAAGCCCAAGATGCAACTGAAAGGCATCTAGGAAATATACACACACTCACACACACACACACACACACACTTATAGAGAGACACACTCACACACACATGTACATGCACACACTTAAGCTTTTACACCATATGATCTACGAATAACGATATTGTACCGAGTCACGATTTCTGCACAAAACGTACCGTTGCCTGTGCCTCTTTGCGACTGGCTGTGGCTCTCGCTGTTGCTGCTGCTTGCCGGGAGGTACGGAGGGAGGGAGCTACGGGCCGGACAGGCATAGGCCTGGCCGTGGTACCTACGGCTCTTGGCCGCGCAGCGAAAATAAAAGAACTGCAAGCGGGCGACCAGGCGCTGCCCATATGCGCATATCGCGGCTTTATCTGGAGCTCAGACGATGCGAAAGCTGTGCCGTGTCGTTATTGATGAAGATACGAGCAGAAGCATTCAGCTATGAGCCAAAAGATACCGTAAGCCTAGGCAGAGAGCGGGCAGCTGAGAGGGCGGGCGCTGCTGGCATATCATGTTATATCAATAATCGCAAAAGGGTGGAGCGAGCGAGCGAGAGAGATACAGATACAGATGCAGATGCAGCGAGTACAGATGAAGATGCAGTTGTGAAGCTGTGAAGGTGTAAGGCCCAAAAAGTCATTTCGAGTGGAGTATAGAGGAGTCTCCCGCCCACCCCCACTGCCAGCCGTCTGGGAAGCCCTAGAGCTGATTGGCTCTCCGGGCCTTGCTAAGGCTTCGAAATGTATCTCATAAGTGCAGACAGTTTAGTTATAAGCCAGGCGCACTTTGCGGTAGTTTCAATTACGCTTCAGCTTAATTGCAGGCCTGCGGCGAAGGTGTAGAACGGGGGGCGGCAGGGGGGCGGGTGCTGGTAGCTACTCGCGTGCGCTACGCGCCATAAAGCGTTCAATACAGTTAGACTTCCAAGAACAACAGCTAAGCTCAAGCGTTCGTTCTATTAATTGAAGTTCCTGCAATGTGTGCGAAAACAGCACGATATCAACCGACCCCCATCAGCCCCTCACTGCCCCACTCACTGCTAGCGTGACCATGGCCATGGGTGCCCGTTGATGGCCCCTGCCCCCTCCCCTCCTCCCCTCATAAATGAAAGTGCAGACTTTTGCCGCTTGGCCGCTTCAATTTGAAGCGTGAAATTGGTTTGGGCCACAGCGAGCGAGCACATATGACCAACTGCTAATGAGTGCATATGAGTGTCGCTACGAGTACTCTGAGTGTCTATTCGAACATTATTCAATTGCCAAAACAAGCCCCAGGGTTCTTGGCCAATCGCAGAGGTTTTAGCGGTCGGTCAATGCACCGTTGCGCAGAAGTGTAACACACACACACACACACAGCAAGTCGATAGCAGTGGCCAGACGCCGCCCCATTGTCGGCTCATTTTCTAATTATTAATACATACACACACACACACACACACACAGCTAGAGTACACAGCTAGAGAGCCATCATTAAGTCGCAATAATTAAATGTTAAGCTTACATGTGCAGGCTGCTAGTTCAAGTAATTAGCACAGCGGCTCAAGACTTGCTGGCTAGAGATGAGCGTGGGCTCGTGACACGAGCGAGATCAAAGTATTATGAAGTAAGCAAATGAACTAATGCCATTACGAATTGTAGAAAGTGGATTACTTTCAGAGTGGGTAAATCGTAAATAAACAAATTTCTTAGTTTTACTATGCGATTTCCAGTTGAAAACGATTCGACACGCTCTCCTCTCTAGGGCAGTCTGGCTAAACTGATGACTGAGATTGAGCCGGCGGCAAAGCCAAAGCGCTGCAAAAGCTAGACAAAGTATCTGGAGTACAACCGAAACATAATTGCAGACCCAGACACGAACCGCAAAATGTTTTAACTTGCATGCACTTCGAGTATCTACAAAATGCACTGATTATGAACGCGCTTGAACTTCGCGAGGCGGAAGCTCAGTTTCAATTGCTGCTGCTGCTGCTGTTGCTGCAGTTGCTGTGATTTCAGCTGCTGCTGCTGCTGTGCAGGTGCCCCCACAGCTGATTACCTGGCAACAGGTAACAGCAGGCAATGCCATTCGGGGTTGACATTGCTATAAACCAGCGGGGTTTATAGCTCGATATAGGTCAATGGTAACGATTGTTGTGGGAAGCTGAGAGTTGAGAGCTGCGGCTGCTGCTGCGGCTGCTTCTGCTGCTGCAATTGAAGAACTCTCCACTTAATGAAAATGCTGCTCAGACTGAGTCAATTGTAAATTGGTTACAGTTGGTTTCTGGCCTCGTTACTTTCGGAGTAGATACGAATTTAAAATAAGAGAAAAACAGAAACTTATTAATGTGAACTGAGATAAGGCTGATGAGCTATAGATACACGTTAAGGGAATGCATTAACTCATTTCGGTACAAACTCAGCATCGACTCAGCTAATGAGAATCGCCTAGAGAGGCGATGGAATGTTTAGCATTTGCATTTGGGCACATTTAGAGGTACTTATATCAGAAATTCTTGGGGCTTCTTGAGGCCTGGGCACAGATATTTATGCTGTTGAGCCAACTGCAGACGCAAACCCGTTTTCTTAGCCTACAATTTGTGTATATTAGGTACGTCTAGGCAGCGTCTTGGCCCATATGCCACCATATGCAGAGCAATTCGCACGTTGCCAACGCCAACGAGAACAACAACAGCAGTTGCTGCTGCTGCTGCAACAACATCAACAACAAAAGGCCGCCAGAGTCTTGGCGAAAATAAAGATAAGCGATTTAGCTTTGATTTAACTGATGCTATGTGAAGTTATGCGCAGCCGAAAGTCTCTATGGGAAGTGGCGCGGCCAAAGCCCAGTTCGAGGCCCGGCTCAAGTCCGAGTCATGTAGCTGGGCAGCAACAACAACAGCAACAACAGCGACAGCGACAGCAACTGCGAGACATTTGGCGATAAGAGCGACTATATTGCAGCGGCGTTGCTGCACTATTAAAGCGGCTACGCCGCGGGGCATGTCGTCATGTTGCAAGTGCATATGGAGGATGCCACGGAACGTGCACAGCTGAGGCAAAGGGCACAGCAAGCGAGTTTGGAGTTAGTCGAATATACATACACACATACATGCATATATATATGTATATTTGTGGAAGGGCCATGCTGCAGCTGATCGATTAGCCAGGTTAGCTGCAAACGAAAATTGCGCATGAAGTGGCAACAACTGTGTCTGCGGCATGTTGCACGTTGCCCCTGGCTGAGCGGCGGCTGTA